AAATAGGAATTTTAAATAGTTAATTTGATACAATTATCGATATATTTTTGTCAAATTTTTATGATATCTTCAAGTTTATATTTTATTCAAAAATAAAAACATTAATGTTTTTTTCAAAATCACAAAAGACCATACTATAACATCGATTGAGATAAAGAATAAAATGAAATATTAAAATCAAGATGTATCTCACTGCATTGCACAGGTGCCCTTCTAGTTTTAAATACATAAAGAGCGTCTCTAACAAAAGAATTTTTTAATTTCTCTAAAATAAATGATTAAAAGTTAAAATATTTAAAACGAATTAAATTTAATTCTAACAGATTCTCTATTTTAGATATTTTAACATTTATTATATTATTAAAATATTCTATAAATTTATCATCTCACTACACGTTTTAATAAGAATTTACATAAAATAATAATAATTGAATCTCAATAATGGAAATGAATAAAAAGTTAATTTATTTATCCACAAATCTAATTTTAGAAAAAAAAATAATTTTGTTATCTATTTTACTCCAATGGATTATTTATGCCGTTTTATAAAATAAAAATAATAAGAGAAACATCCAACTTAAAAGTCTTTAAAACTTGATGGAGGATGGAGAAACGATATGTGTTTATTTATTTTTCATCGATGAAATTGATTATTATTATTATTTTATATATTTTTAAAATATGTATTGAGATGATAAAATTATAGAGTATTATAATAATATAATTACCATTGAAATCCTTAAGAGGTCGTTTACCAAACACTTACCCGGTAAGTGCTTACAGGTAAAATTTAACACTATTATTTACGTACAGATAAGATTTTAGTCCACCAAAACGACATCTTATTCAACAATTTACCCAGTAAACGCTTACCGTGATAAGAGTTGTCGCCCTCACTTACTGGGTACGATTCATGGTCCTTGTCTCACTTTTACCGGATAAGATTTTTTCTCTTTACTGCCTTTCAAAAAAAAAAAAAAAAAAAAAGATTTTTTCTCTTTACCATATTCCTCGGCTGAGGTAACATGACTTGGTAAGCACTTACACGGGTAAGTGTTTGGTAAACGGCCCCTTATTTTTTATTATGTAATTTTTTTTTATTAACTCCATGAGAAATTTTGAAACATTATTGATTTTGTTAATTTGACTGATTCAAACAAAAATAATATGTCAAATTCTTTATCTAATACTATCTAGGGGTGATAATTTGGTGCCAAATCAATTAAAATGATAGAGGAGGAAGCGTTAGCCACGCCAATATGTATATCGTATCAATAAGTCGGTACCAATTCAATTAGTATCAATAATAATCGGTTGATAGTACTGTATTAAGTATATAAACTTGGTTGATACACGATACTGAAAGTCGCTTATCCACGGTAGTACAATGGTACCAACTTATTTAATTAGTTATTATTTTTTTGATTTTTAATGTATTAAATATCAAACATTTTTACCAAATGACCTTTTGGCCTAGCGGTATGTAAGTCTTTGGTCACCTAGCAGGTCAGGGGTTCAAACATCACCAAATGTGAGGATGGTGTGTGAGTTTATTTTGTTCTATTTGTCGTATATAAATATTATATACTTCAAAAAAAATATCAAACATCAAGGCACATTTCTATTTCAATGTTTCGTTTTATTTTTTTATCCATGTCGATATAATACAATTTTATGTGGTTTTGAGAAAGCGATAATGTTTTTATTTTTGAATAAAATATAAATTTGAAAATATCATATAAAATTTGCAAAAAGTATATCAATATTAGTATCAAATTATCTAATTAAAAGTTCTTGTTTGTTTTTTTTTAATTCAAATTTTTTATTATAATTTAATTTAACGTAACGAAGTAACTTAATTTAGTTTTAATAACATTTTTTTATAAAGATAATAATTAAATATTCTGTTAGAACTCAATAATTATCCAAATTATATTTTAGATTTTTTGTATTTTAAAATGAAATATTTATCCTCTATTTGATTATGTTTATTCGCAGTTAGTTACACAAATTCAAACATAGAGCTTTAATAAGTTGTACTTATGCGCAATTACTTATAATCTTGAATTTTAAGTAATATGCATTAATAAACAGTACTTTATGCATACAAAATGTTTTTAAGAGTTTTTGTTAAATGCTTTATAATATAGTATAAATTAAAGGATTATCACATATCTGGATGAGGGAGTGCATGATGTCTTCTACTAGAGTTCTCAGACTAATTGTTCTAAGGCTCACCTGGGCCAACGTAAATATAGCTCAATTTAGTCTTGGAGGAACGATTAGTAAAGAATTCAGATCGATTTGTTGTAAATTGTCGACCCACTGTGGTAGATAATAGCTCTGCTTTTTGAAGGGATGAGGGTGTGTTGCTGGTGATCCAATTGCTTACTTTAATTTAGTTATCAAACCCAAGTAGCTGATCGTCATTTTGAAGACGAAATGCGGCTCATTTGATTATTAGAAGTCAAAATCAACACTTATCCTTGTTGAACATTTAGTCTTATATGCGAGAAACGTGAAGTTGTGACACCACGAGAAAATCAGGTTTATAGGACCCCAAAAAAGTCCTATTGTCTTAACAGATTTCTTTGATTTCTTTATTTTACTTATGTTTATAAGACCAAACAATTGTGTTCTATGTAAATGTAATAGGTTTGTGAGACTTTTTTGGACGTCTTAAAAGTTTTTTAGGATACTTTTGAAATAAAATGTCCTATTAATTTTTTATACGATATTATTTTAATACGTGTCTTACAAAATACATGTCCTATAAAAATATATTTATAGGACGCTTCTCAAACGTGTTATGCAAGACAATATTCGGTATGCAAATTGGATTAGACTTGACAGGATAAGAGAACAAGAGTGGACTGGACATAATAAGTTGTTTGTGTGGCGTGGGAAAATTAGTACTAGGTTGGACAAGTTGTCTCTAAATATTTTCTATTGATTTTATATGGTGGTTATTGATGGTGGTGGAAGTGGAAGATGGTGATTGTGGCATAGGCAGAGGTGGGAGGTGGGAGGTGGCCGGTGGTGGTGGTGGTGATAGTGATAGAGGTAGAGTCAGTGGTGACAAGTGACTGACGATCATTGTGGAGGACGTGAGAATAGTTGATGGTAGTGGTTGCAGCTCCGATAGTGGTGGAAAATGGTGGTTGTGGATGAGGTAGAGGTGGTGGTGCTCAATGTGGTGGATGTGACATTGATGTGTGGCAGTGGCCGATAGTCGATAGTAGTTGTGGAGGACGTGGAGATGGTGGACAGTAATGGGAGCCAAAATTGGTGGATATGGAGGTAGAGGTGGTGGTTGTGGATGAGGTAGAAGTAGTGGTTGTGAAGGAGGTGGGAGGTAGTAGTGGTAATCGATGGTGGTGGAAGTGGTCGCGGTGGCTGTGACGATGAGCAGCGTTGATCATTAAAGCAAATACCATAGCAGGGTTATATCAAATTAGAGTAAATTATTAATTCTTTTGTTTTGCACAATCTTGTTCTAACATTGAGTTTTTGTTTTATCCCATGTCACACTGCACCTGAAACGATGGATTTTATCATATTATGTCCAGTCTCATGTATCAAATGCAACATAAAATCGGAGTAACTTCAAGTCATGGTTATTATAGACATCGGACCAAATAAAAAATTTCATGGACCAGAATTGGTAAAGACCTCAAATTATAGGGTTAAAATGGAAGTCTTTATATTAAGGGGGTAAAATCTGTCATTAAGGTATATTATTGTGGTTACACATACACTTGCCAAAACTTGTGATTTTCATATCTGATATAAAGCCGGCGACGCCGTGGCAGGTGAAGTTTCGAGAAAAAGCAGGAGGGCAAGTGGAGGTAAACGATGACGACCGCTGCGCAGATTCCGACGAGCTTCGGCCATGAACTTCGAGCATGTCTTCGTTGCCGCCTCGTCAAAACCTACGATCAGGTTCGCTACTTCTTTTTTTCTCAATGTCATTATTCTACCCGGGCTAAAATTCCAACTAGGGTTTTGTATTACGGTTTATGGTTTTTGTTCTTATAGTTCAACCTAATTTGTGTTTCCATTTTTGTACTTTGTAAAGTTGTTCTTTGTATATGGAATTTGTTCTTTGCTACTTACATTGGGCCGTTTGTATGTTGTGAGTTGCAGTTTCGAGAATCAGGGTGTGAGAACTGCCCTTTCTTTAAGATGGATGAGGATCATGAGCGTGTCGCTGATTGTACTACACCTAATTTTACTGGGTAATTATTACTGCATAAGCATTTGTCTGTTATGTGTAAATGCGTGAATGATTGAAATCATTAGAGCTTATATGTTTCTTAGAATGCATGAAACGTTCACTATTATGTCTGGGTTGTCGACGACTCTAAGGATTCAGTTAGAGAAGATACATTTGTGGCAGTAAGCAAATGAAGGACATCCAGTTTGCTTCTACAATAACAATTGATCGGAGTTGTTAAAATATTTAGACAGGAGAAACCAAAAGGCCATCACGATTTTAAAACACATAGAAATTTTTTGGAAGTTTTCTGATTTTCAGAGAATTCAGCAGTTCTACAAAAAGAGAAGGTACTTTTTTTTCTTTATTTATGTGAATTACATGAGTGCTTCTTTGTTGGGATTGAGGTTGGGTTTGGTTAGTACAAGATATAATGACATGTGATTATTTTAGTTGATACCTTTCTTCGGTTATAGGCTCAGTTGAGTAATATATTTTAGCTTAGAATTTAGATATCATGTGTTTTAGATTGAGGTTTGAAGTACTTCAGTATAATGGTCACTGTTAATCCCTCCCCATCCCACTGTTTTTTTTTAATCATCATCTCCAGCTCACTTTGTATTAACCTTACTAAATGTTCCCTTTTGCTGTAGTATCATCTCAGTAATGGATCCTGCCAGAAGTTGGGCTGCTAGGTGGCTTCGAATTGGTATGCCTAATTCCTTAATCCCATTGTATCCATCTCTTTGTGTTTTTAAAATTTGATGGTCCGCGGAAGAAGATTTTACTTATGCCATCTCATAGAGGATTATATCCAAGATTGTCAATTTATCACCCTGCCTGCTAGGATGGTGGATCTTGACTGTAGCTGAAATCCAAATGCTGAGGTGGGCCCTCAAAATAGAGATATGTTAGAAATGGAAATACTTGGAAAAAGGGGATGGTGTTACAATTGATATAGAATTCGGTGAAGCTTCAGATGTTTAGTTAGTGTATGATAGAACTGTTTATGCATTATTAGCTAGTTGTATGGGAGAACAGAGAAAATAAGAGAGTAGATTTTTGGTAAGAATAACCCAGGTGGAAGTAGGAAAAATGATCCTGTCGTTGGAACATGGCTGAAAAATATGACAGTCAAATCTAGTTTCTATTTTTGTTAGATCCATGTTTGGCCACCCTAAATGGCTTAGGATAAAGGCAATACATGAGTTGGTAATTAGTCTCTTTGGGTAGAAAAATGCTAAAGCAACAGAAAAATCTAGTACGGTCTGGCTCTTGATATTCACTCGACATAAAAGGCATCAACCTGTGATGGGGCTTGAGGTGCCCAATGCTTGATTTACTAAAGGTGGATCTCTACTATTGAATAAACACACAATTTCTTGCTTTGTTGCAAAGTCAAGATATCATAAAATGTATGACATACTGTTTTCTTAATTTTTTCATAGTAATTTTATGGCATCACATGTATGTGTATAGGTTTATGTGTAGAACTTCGGATTCATTTTAAGCTGCTTTGTGATGTTTCATTACCTTTCATCAGTGAATATTTGTAGATATGTGAGTTGCTAATATTTTGTTTTTATTCATATTTCTTATGGTTTTACATTAGGGAAACTGCTTTGGTATTTGCATTAAGCTTCTTATCAATGTGAATCTACTTCAGATGTGCAGTAGGCATTCCCTTTTGTGGATAATGAATTGTTTGAGGAGTGGTGACTAGGATTCATTGTACTCCAACTCTATAAAGCCTCGGCAGCAGGAAAATCGATAAGATTTCATATATTGATCACTATTTATTTTTCCTGGTAGAATTTCACACCAAGGAGTTCCAAAAGTTTTAGGAACTTTATCTTCATGCACTGATGTCACATTGTGTTTCTTTGCTCTAGAAGAATGAAAATATAGGAGTAGGACTTAAGTCAAGCCGTATGTCAATTATCCATTGACATTTAATTTATAGTTTTTTTGTTCTTGTCTTTACCTCTATGGCTATATGTGAGTAGTTACAATGTCAGTCTCTCTCTCTCTCTCGCTCGCTTGTCAGATCATTTTTTATAGTATAAGTTGAACTTTTACCAAATTTGCGGTGCTGTGAACTTGTTTATTGGGGCTGCCCCAAGTATATGTAAGGGGTTTACATTCAGTTGATGAACTTCGATTCAACATTGATCCAAGTCATGTAGATCTGAAGTAAAGACTTCCAAGAAGATTAAGAGCTAGATTTTCAGAAGTGTATTCAACACATGGGACTAACTGGAGTTCATGCTTCCTTGCACGTGACAGAGGAAGCTGGACGAGGGAATAGTCTAAGGAGCTGTTTACCAACACAAACTGGCAAGCACTAACCTGGTAAGAGTTACATCCTCACCGACCTTACCGTGTAAGCTTCTCAGCCATGAAAATACCGTGTAAGAGTTACATCCTGACCGACCTTACCATGTAAGATTCTCAGCCATCAAAATATCATAGTATAAGCGTCTCTTACCCGATAAGCACTAACCGAGAAAGAGTAAACACCCTCACCAGGTACGATCATCAGTTAGTATTGTTGGTAAAGATCATCATCTCTGACCAGGTAAGCGTGTCTTATCCGGTACTGGTAAGAAGCAATAAGTGTTTAGTTACCCGGTAAGAGGCAGTAAGTGTTTAGTAAATAGCCCCTAAGCCTGGGTTGTCTGAAGCTAGCATTGGAAGCTTCCTTTTACCGAATAGATGTGGTGGCAAGCAATTTAGAAGTTGGAAATGGGCCAGTCTATCTTATTAAGTCACTTGAAGAATGAAGAGGCATAATCAAAGTAGTAATATATAAATAAATCAGTGATTATGTTACATTGGATATGTTCTTAACTTTAATATAAATTTTACCCTGTGTAAAGCAAGAAGGTCTGTGGTTTTGTGTAAAAGCTTTTGTTGTATGCCTATGTATAGTCAAGGTGCTGCCACAGTGCCTCTCCAATGTGGTGGCCTGGTAGATAAAGATGATCACAATCTAGGGAAAGCAAAACGTGCAAAGTATTTCTGTGATGCATTAGGACTTCTGTTCTATTTTGTAGCCATGGCTGTTATTTCATATCTGTTTTCACTCTTGGACTGTTATTTCAACCTTTATTTTGAATTTATACCAACTTACTTCAATTCTAACTTTGATGTCATTCCAACTTAAGTTTCATCTTTATTATGCTATCGCAACTTAATTGTCAATATCTTTCTTTCATTTTTGTATTTACCTTCTATGTTCTTTTTGGAAGCACAGTAACTTTTTGTTTCTTGCAGTTCTATATCAAAATATGTTTCTTGTTTGACTCTGCATCTCTAATACATACTCACAATGGAGGCCTTCTGTAATCTCATAGTATATGCTTTTTTACCCTCTTGTTAACATTTCTTTTCATGGCACACGAATTGTATTTGGAAATTTACAAATTGTTGGTTTTGTTTGATAGTAACTACCAAGTAAATGTTCTATAGTCTTTTTACTTTAAAATGGATGTAATATAAGTGAATGTAATTTCTCTTGCAAATTTATAGTAGCGTATGGGTTTATGAGAATTGTATGGTTCATGCTCGGGCCATGCCTCTTTTTGGGCTAGTACCATGCTTCTGCTACCTGCTGTATATTCTATACTTGAATGACTTTTCAGTTGTTGTCTATATGATCTAGCTATATAAGGTACTAGAGCTTTATTCCTGCAGAATTGTTCATCTGACGTGAAACTGTGGAAGGGAATAATTTTAGTAGAATTATCATGCAGAGTGGTCCTTAACATTGTAATTGCTTACTGGAATATTAAATATAGGAGGGGAATGGGTTGGGGAAAAAGTTTAGCATATTGAGTTCTATAAGCTTCCCCCACAAAGGTAAATGTGGAACCACTTCCAAAAGATACTGTTATGCATTGGCCCAAGCTCATTAGTAGGATGTATATTCTAGAAGGGGTAGTTATGTATCTTTACCATAGAGTCTGTCATGGCTGTTAATGAATAGGGAGCAAGTGGCAGTGAGAGGATCATCCAGAAAATCAGTAAGAGTGTCGTGGGAGGGCTCTGGCCTATCAAATAGCCAGAAACCCTTCTGTTCTTGTCAAACTGAAGCATCCACAGTGGTGTTACCAATCTGTTCCTATTTCACTTGTTCAATTGAAATCAGTTCATAACAGATATATGCATGTAGATTTATGCATAGACACTCATTTATTTTTAATAACCGGTATAATCAAAGTACTGAAGAGAATTGGGCCTTGGTAGAAAGGTGAACTGCATATAGAAGTAACATTTGCTATGCCCTTTGGTTTTGCCTGTTAAAATTGTTGAGAAGGGTAGATGGTTGCTTGGCTAGGTTCAAGGAGCAGAAAGGAGACACAGCTGGGGGTGAGTAAAACAATCCACATTAATTAGTTGGATTTTGTTATTAACAGACATTTGTGAAGTTCATCAGTTCTTTTGACAACCACCAGTTGATAGATAGCACAGGTGATCAATGGACCATTGACAAAAAATAAGTGCACGCAGGCCAAATGAAAATAAGAAACGGAAAAGCACGAGTACATAATTCCATGTTTTGCATCTATTCTTGTATTCATGCATTTCTGTCTCAAGTAGTTGCAGTTGGTTGAGTTTATCTTGGCTCACATTTGCAGGAATTATAAAAGGTTGTTAAAATTGCCATTTTAAGCTACTTCTTTGAGAACCATTCAATGTTGATAAGAATGCACACCTACTTATTTTCCTTATCTGGTCCTAGATTCTAGATTAATTTAAAATGTGACATGTTCCAATTTGAGGTTTTATGTTTATTTAACCATTATTGCCACCATACACTAAATTTGCAGTTAATGAAAATCTTAACTTGTGTTTAAGAATCATAACCGAAGACCATTTTGTATATTATAGAAAAATGCCTCCACCTTTCACGGAAGGAAGTGTGTGGAAAGGCCAACTACAGAATTGACGTACAATCTGAGAGGGGTGCGATTATTTTTAGGCGTTGTGTAACTGTGTGTGTCATTTCGTTTGTACCTTTGCAGTGAACAATTATCGTTCATAAAATGTGAACTTTTTAGTCCTTTGGTGGAATATAGTTTGCCAATCAACATCTTTTCCGTAGAGAATTATTGGCTTAGGATTTGTGGTTATTGGCAATGTTTTGCAGGCAGATACGTTCCTGGCTGCTACACACTGGCGGTCTCAGAAGCACTGCCGGAGGATCTGCAGGTTCTGTGAACAGTCTGAACCATCTTTTTACCAAAAAAGCATACGTATGCATGTATTTACTGTTTGCATTTTTTTTGCAGTCTATTTGTGAAGAAGAGCGGGTGCAATATATTCCACCAAAACGCGTATGACGTATATATGCACATGGATGTAAGCTGACTTGATTAGTTGTAATTTTCTGGTACGAAAACTCAGACCCACTTCCCTGTAGGGGACATAACATTCTGCTGTACTGTGAGCTTTTGCTTTTGAGGGTACCCTGTTCTTTTATATGAAAATTTCATTGGGTCGAGTTTAAACCTTCCTTAATTTGATATTCAGGTTTGGTCTTGCACCAGTTGGGTTGGGGCGTATTTCTAAACATTATATTGAGTGCATTTGGTTAGGCTTTAGGGTTTTAATTTGACATGAGTAGTTTAGTAAGTTACCGTCTTTCTTGCTTTCGTTCTACGTATTTTGGTGGGACAAAAATGCATTTATGTACCACTAAGTTTTGTCTAATATCGCGCTAAATGTGGGGCATTTTTTGTTCTTGCTATCACGTATATCAAACGCACTCTGAGTAACATGTTTTCAAAGTGGAATCACGGAAGTCATTGATGCTTTGATGAGTGTCGAATGTGTTTTATGTTTGCATGGGTGGACTTCATGATATATTGGGTTCGTTTATGATGGTAATGATGGCTATAAGTTACGTTTCTTGTTTAGGAAAAAACAAAAGATGGTCAATGTTGTAGTGATGGGATTGTTACTATATTGTTTTAAAATACGTCTCATTCATTTTCATTTTCATTTTCTATCTTGTTATCGGGTCAAAAGTACCGCTTCATGATAGCATCGATTTGGACCCCTTTTTCGATCAATTTTCTTGATTCAGATCGGCTAAAGACGGGCCTAAAGTCTGAATTGGTTTGTACAAAGGTTCTAAGTTGCGTGAGCTGTGACATGGCTCGAAGGTCAAGCCTCAAGTGCTGCAGCAAGGATGTGTAGTTTTTCAAGGCGTGACTTAAGGAGCAAATTTGTTTGTCATATATATATATATATATATACATATTGTATATGTGTATATATATATATATATATATATAGTTATATATACATAAATTTATATTAGAAGAAAAGACGAAGGATCATGTATTTAAAAGTTAAGATTAGAAATGTAAGAAGAGATCTTTACTCTTTCTCACTTTTAGAAGGGAGTTAAGACATGGGAAGGGGTCCCGAATTGCACTTTAGAAGGGAGTTAATCTCATATCCCTCCATGACTTGCGCTTTAGAAGTGAGTTAGGCATGAGAATGAATCCCAACCTGTCGGGGAACCCGGTCCACCTGCCCTTGTTGGGGATGGGGATTCCCTACTAAATCGGGGACGAGGATCCCTGTTTGTCTCAAACCAGGGACAGCGACGGGTATTGTAGTCCCTGCCCCACCCGTCCCGTACCCGTTATATATACATATATATATACATATATATACATATACATATATATATATATACATATATATACATATACATATATATATACATATATATATATATATAAATATATATATATATATAATACATGTGAGGGGGTTTAGTGGTGTAAGGACGACTTGGCCTGCAACCAAGATCGTGTCGAGAATCGTCCGTGTCTCTGATTTAGTCTTGCATGTGTATCATATATGATGAAATAATAGTATCACATGTGATTGTCTATAATAAAAAGATGTTCTCGCATTCTCGTAAAATGAAAGTGTTCTCGTTTGAACACTTCCATATATATATATATATATATGTGTGTGTGTGTGTGTGTGTGTTAGCGATGAGCTCGAGACCTAAAAGAAGAAAGAACAGAAGAATCCATCTAAATCGTTAGATTGAGATGGTCCATTGGATGTGATTAAAAAGATGGTTATGACCACCTTTCCTAAAATTACAAATAATATTTGCCCTTAATTTTTTAAATCAAAAATCAGCGAAATGCAAAAAGAATTGGAGTAAAATAAGTTGCACCAAGAAATAATCACTTTATTATCTTTAAATTGACATCTATTTTGATATATATATATATATATATATATATATATATATATTTTTTTTTTTCCCTTTTTCATGGTTCTCTGGGTTTTTTTTAAACTTATCTCTAGATATTTTCCTATAATAATATTATTATATAATTAATGTTTTTACTTTTTGAAGTCAAGTGAGACAAAAATCTGAAAAAGACAAATGCTCTAACGATAACATACATCTTTAACATAAATTAGTGTTAGGGACCCAAACCATTGTAAAAGTGATACAACAGAGACATGATCCATCAAATTTTTAGAAGCTGAATAAAATCCGTTTGAAACGCATAATCACAAGTAGGGGTGTACGTGGGTTGGGTTGGGCGGTTTACAACATTTTTACAACCCCTCAATTATGACGGTTTGAAAAAATCTCAACCTAATCCAACCCAAAATATTCAAAAGTATAACCCAACCCAACCCTTACGGGTTGAGGTGGGTTGGGTTGGGTGGTTTACAACATTTTTACAACCCAACCCAATTATGACGGTTTGGAAAAAATCTCAACCCAAACTATTCAAAAGTATAACCCAACCCAACCCTTCCGGGTTGAAGCGAGTTGGGTTGGCGGGTTAGTAGTTACATAAATTTAACGAATGAGATAATTCATAAAACTTAAGTTTATAGACCATATTATAAAATGTCTAATCTAAAATGGTTACAATAGGTTTATATGACGTTTTTGAACGCTTCAACAAGTGTTTTACAATGATTTTTAAATAAAATGTTATTTTATATAAATATTTTGAGAAGTGTCCCTAAAACTCATCTATTTATAGGGTACATATGTTCAAATACACTTTTCAAGTCGTGTCATATAAAATAACTAATATGATATTTTATTTTAAAACGTCATATAATTTGTTAGGTAGCTCAAAATCATCCTATAAACATATTGTAACTCTTTTAGATAAGACATTTTTCTTGTTTCATCCTATAAAGAATCATATTAGGACGCTTAGACATTTTAGCCATCCTATAAGATCTAATGTTGTTGTAGCGAAATGTTATAACTAAACATTTTATTTCCACTAAAGTACAACATCAAATGACGGGGGTATTTAGATTGATGGATTCGTCAACAAAATATCTATTAGTATAATTCATATTCTCCGACATATCAATTTGTTGTTGCTGCAAAAAAGATTTCAATAATTTTCTCTTATTAATTAGATTATTTGTCATCATTCTTTGATCGTAAATCTCTTTCAATAACCTATACGTTTAATTAAAATGAAATACAAACATAATATCAATAAAAATTATACATTATTAATATATATATACATAATAAACACACACACACACACACACATATATATATATATATATATATATAATTTTATAAAAATTATATATTAGTGGTGGTTTGGCGGGTTGAGCTGGGCCCAACACAATTTCAACCATCCTAATTGGTGGGTTAACGGTTTGACGGGTGGACGGTTTGGCAGTTAGACGAATTGGGTTTAATGGGGTTGTTAGCGGATTGGGTTGGACGGATTTTACAAGTTAACGGTTTTTTTGCACCCCTAATTACAAGTACCAAACGTATTAACAAATTAGTCAAATCATTTGCACATGAAGTCAAAGTTAAGATCTTTCAAAAAACACCATATCTAACTTTTCCTATATTAATTTATATCATTAAAATATTTAATATAAATTTAATATTTAAATAAAATCTTGAAAAAAATTCATATGAAATGAAAAAGAAATAATTTATTTGTCTAAAGTTCTAACATTAGATTTCAAAGAATGAGTAAATTACGGTTTTGGTCTCTTAGGTTTGTCTTTTTACAGAAGTGGTCATTTATCTTTATTTATCATTAAAAAACCATCCACCTATGCAATTTGTCTTGGATTTGGTCATTCCCTCTAACATCTGTTAGTATGAGAGCAAATTGGTCCTTTTACTATTTTCTTTATTTCATTGTTTTTTTAATTATGCTATATACATTATACATTATACTTCATCGTGGGAGGCATTTTCTTTTCACCTCGACCTCATGCTTCCCCTCCGGCATTAAACCCCTATTACTCTCCATGACCCCTTCCCTCACACCTGCAACACCCCTTATGTCTCTACCTTTTGTCCGATTCTAGATCTGCAGATTCCTCTTTGCTTCAGGCGTGATCGATTCTGATCAGTTCCAAAGAAGGTTTTGAAGGGTTGGGATGTAGTGATAAATGTCTTGGAGACTGGAATTCAAGATGTATTAGTTGCATATTTGAACTTCGTTTATGTTGTTGCTTGAATTGCTGAGCCCTTGAATCCCAAACCGAGTCTTGCATCACTGGTATGATGTGAAAACTTTTACATGAAAATAGAGAGATTTTAAGAGGTTGCTATTGTCAATAACACAAGAGCATCGATGCTTCAAGAAATGGACTTCAAGAAAGAGGCACCAAACAATGGAGCTTAGAATAGAAGGGGCTGTTTGACAGTTGCTGAATGATTTTTTGCAGAATGATTAAGAGGCTCTCATGATGTGTTGTAAAATAAAATATAATTGTTCGGTAATTGTTTACAATTGAATTAGAGTGTTGAATGGTTAAGGGAGGCCCATGATACAAAATCATTCAGAAGATTTTATAACCATTAAAAGACATATTTTTTTTGGCAAACATGATTCATCTCTTAACGATTTAGAGAAAAATCGGATTCAGTTGTCAACTGCCCCTGGCTCTTAACGGAACTATTAAGAGGTATACAAACTACCGCCAAACATGGCACAGTTTTTAAAGGGTATCCAAGAATCCCACTAGTTCTTGGAGGGGTAGACAGGGTGATGGCGGAAGGCTACTGCTACAAGTGGAAATGGATGGGTTTTTTTTAACATGATTCGAGTCTAGAAATCCATTCCATTTACTTCTTCATTTTCAGATTTCCAATTACAGTTTTGAATTTAGTGGTTGCTTGAGGGATTTGGGTTGGTCTAGTTTAATTTTGGATTTTTTTTGTTCGGATTTAGTTTTGTTACGTCGGAGAAGAAGACCCGAGGAAAGGGTGCAGTGTTGTCGTCGGCGGAAGAGAAAGGAGGGCGGGGTGTATTATTTGAAAAATGGTATAATAAAGAAGAAAGTGGTGAGATGACCAATTTACCCTCATACTTAATAGAGATAATGGACGGACGTTAGAAGGAAGGACCAAATCTAAGACAAATTGCATAGATGAAGGATTTTTTTGTAATAAATAAAAATAAATGACCAGTTCCATGAAAAAGGACAAACCTCAGGGACCAAATCTGTAAGTTACTCTTCACCTTTTATCTCGTTTTCCATACAAAAGAGAACCGCCCACTCCGTCAACCCTATCATGAAGAGCCTTCCGATCGCCGGAATACCGGAGCAACCCTACTCTTGATATTCAGATCCGTCGACCCAAAATTGACTCAATATATGAACAGTTGTTTGCCTCCACTTCTTACACGGTTTCGATCATTTTCTTCATCTTAATCGGGGGCATGGATTCATTTCCATCATGGATGGTCGTACAATCCGTTCAATTTCCGACCAAAATTGTAAATACCAGTGGACTGTTGCTGTTTTTCTCAATTTCTCACCAACTAATAGAAAAAGCGACGATCGTTGAATATGGTTAGTTTTACTAATTTCACACTTGTAGCAAGTTCTCGTTCTTCATTGTTGCAATCGTAGAAAGTCTTCGAAATTGATGATTTAGGGTTTACAGATTTCATTTCAACGGTATATGTGGTTGTAGAAATTTGATTCATATCGACCGTTCATATTTTATCTATTCAAGCTTGTTTCCTGTGAATGCTGATGCGAAAGTTAATTGGAAGAATTTATTAGTGGATGATTGCCATGTTTCTCAAAGATGCGTGCATCTTACTGAGAATAATGAACTCCCATTTTTTTTTTGCTATAGTAATAAGAAACGCACAAACACAAAGTAACAAAACGAACCATTCTTCTAGATCCAAGTCAAAGCCAATCAAGAACTTCTTAGTTTATAAGATGACTAACGTAACCTTCTTGAAGGAGGGGAGTAGTTTGCACTTAGTTTTGACCATAGAAAGTACTTTCCTTCATGTGGAATAAGAATATTTTGAATCTTAAAGCGGCTATATTTGAGCCCTCTTCTACTAATTTTCTCCCATATTCATCAACATCATATTATCCGTTTTCACATTTCTAATGCTGTAAATTAATCCAAATGGGCTCTTTCAAAAACTGTCGGCATGATCAGAGGCTTTACGGCTTGGCCTAGACATGTGCCCCGGCTCGGGCTTCTTGTGCATCCTCTACTCTAGTTCAACCAGTTTGGCTAATAAGATGAACTAGATCCCCAACCCCAAAAGCACATGAGAAGATACTGTCTTGCTCGAGTGCTGCTTATATATAACAAATGACAAGCCTGCTAATTGGCTCGTTTGATTTGCTATAACAAGAAAGCATTGGATTAAGGCTATCTGCCTTTTTTGGATATAGTCGGCCACTTATTGAATTGAATCCATGGAGCACAATGTCAGTCATTCAATGTTGAAATATCCTATGCACACAAATATCCAAGCCTGACCTGAAAAGGCTCAGACCCAGGTCTAAGCCAACTAGCCAAGCCTTAAAAGCCCAATCTCATTTTTTTGAAAAAGGCTGGACAGACTCGGGCCTTAAAAAGGCCAGTCAAGTCAAACGGCCTATTCTTACAGCCAAAGCTCAGGCCTGAAAAAGACCGGGTTTTTTTTGCTTACCGAAAACGGGTTTGGAAGGTTTGATCCTTGTGCACTGTGTGTAGAGCTCCTCCAAATGTCTTCTATGATCTCTTCATAGTTCCAAGACTGGTTATAAGTTAAAATGTATGATGAAACATCCTTTCCTGTGTTGTGTATCTTCATAGGTGCCAAGTCACTAGTAACTAGTTCATAATTTGCTATTACAAGAAACAATTGAGCCTAGTAACGAGTCTGGAACTTGCCATAATAACAAACACCAAAGCCTTGTATGTAAGAACCAAGAAAAAAGATCCAATTCTACCATGAAGAAAGCAACCGAAACCACAAAACAAACATATATGTACAAATGAAGTAAGTTACAAGTTTTTAACAACAGGGAACCTCAGTTCTGTAACTCGTATTTAATCTACTATGAAATTTACAATTAAACAAGTAGGAAATGAACATACCATATATTTCTCACACAGATTGTTCAGATACGGACGCCAATCCCTGCATCAGTCTAGCAATCTCGACCGTATCATCAAGATAATACGTGGCCTTGCTCGGTTTGTTACCAACTGTGCATGCAAACACTTCTGCGTTTGGAGCAATACATTTACCCGAAGCAACAGAACTAGTAATCACCTCAAACATATCTTCATCCGATCGATCGTCCCCGATACACAGCACAAAATCTGGGGTCATCCCTCTCTCTTGCAATGTGGCAAGCAGTCGTTTTGCAACCAGTCCTTTGCTTACACCCTGAGATAAACCATATTTTATTCTCGATCAATGCATATCTACTATGCATGCAAATATATGCATTGATGCATATACTCAATGAAATTCATATAGTGTGTTCTCACATCTCGAAATATTTATGGTTCTCATTTGATAATATTCCCCATATATACAGCGGGCTAATCGAGTGAGAACCATAAAGCGATTACAAACTGTGAGAATCGGTTTCACATGATTTTTTTTCATCTAAAGGTTAGGAGTTAAAAGGTATTGATTAACATATATTTGTTTCAAAATCTTTTCCCTCGCTTCTTGGTTAGCCAAAGAGATTCAGCTCTAACTATTCATACCTGTGGTTTAACCTCTACGCTACTCTGCCCTCTCTTCACTGTAACTGGTTCGTTGGCAAGCACACTCTCGAGATGATCAAGAAGCTCCTTAGCTTGACAAGATCCAAAATCAGGATCTGCGTCTTCATAACACCACACCATGGACCTATCTTTCATTTCGATAGTTGATCCATCGGTTGTCTCGGTATAAAGCGTCATAACTGGATGAACATTCTGCTTCCACCCAGAGTCTTCGACATGCACACATGTCTCCCATTCCTCATCTCGTTTTAACCTAAACAGACAGACAAGAACAGGTTGAAATGAGAACCGTACATATTTTAAAAACCTAAGAACCAACTATTTCATGAATTATTCATCATGAATAACCCTAATCTTCATGAATATATATTCATATACCATGCATTTTTATTATTAATGATGAATAACCTAAAATATTATTAGTTATTAGTGATATTCATCATGAATAATTCATGAAAAGTTGAGGTTCTCATCCTGTAAAACTAAAGGTATGGGTACCTTAGAAAACAGCCGTGCTCTGCTGCAAGTCCGAGCTTCTCACAAGAAGCAAACCATTCCTCTAGGGTGTTTTGGCTTCTTGCACTCACAACAAAAACCATATTGTTCTTATCTCTACACAAAGTGTTGATCATTTCTATTGTTTTAGAACTTGGGCTCTTATCAATGGAAGATTGTGGCATTAAAGTGCCATCATAATCTAAAAGAATCGCTCGTGTTGTAGTTCCTTTATAAGCCGAAACTATATGCTCCATTAAAAGCTTCCTAAAGTTTGGATCTAAAGCAACAACTCTAAAACTCAACCCGAACCCGATCCCCCAACACCTTTTCGTCACATGATCTTTACAAGTCCTCTCCAAGTCTTGTAGAAAGCTACGAGCCCAGTAGCCCACATCGTGAGTACTCACGTATCTATAATGCTTTTCGTGTCTCATTTGCTTCTCAGGTTCACTCAGTTCCAACGCACAGTCCATTGCATCCGCTACCGAATCAATATTCCACGGGTTGACCCGTATGGCCCCACTCAGGGACGGGGAGCATCCGATGAACTCGGAAACAACCAGCATGCTTTTTTTTAACATAGATGGCTCAAAACCTAAGACCTTATCTAGTTTTCCGTTCCCTTGGCGGCTGATAATGTATTCGTACGGCATAAGATTCATACCGTCTCTAACAGCCGTGACCAAACAACACTCTGCAACAACGTAATATGCTACCCGCTCGTAAAACTTAAGGGGCTCGTCAATCAAGATAACGGGCTCGTACCCTGGTTTCCCGAAAGTCTCGTTGATTCGTTTAACGGTCGAATATGTCTCGGCCTTCACTTCCTTCACGTCGTTCCCAGTTCCCCTAGCCGGATTTGCAATCTGGACCAAAACAATCTTTCCCTGCCACTCAGGATGCTGAATCAAGAGTTGTTCCATGGCTAGTAACTTCAAGCTAATGCCTTTAAATATGTCCATATCGTCTACGCCTAACAACATTCTTTTCCCCTGATCTTGAAACTGCTTGATGAGTTTGGAAACTTTTGATTCTGTTTCGGGTTGGTTTAAAACAGACTCAAGTCTCTTCATATGAATTCCGACGGGGAGAATCTTGATACTAACCGTTCGGCCGTAGTACTCCAAACTGATATAACCACGTTTTGATTCATACGAAAGCCCTAACATTCGACTACAACAAGATAGAAAATGGCGGGCATAATCGAAAGTATGGAAACCAATCAAATCCGAATTCAACAGAGCTCTAAGAAGCTCCTCTCTGATGGGTAAAGTGTTGTAAATCTCGGAGGATGGGAACGGGCTGTGCAAGAAAAAGCCGAGCTTAACCCGATTGAACCTCTTCCTCAAGAAGGTGGGTAAAACCATGAGATGATAATCATGAATCCAGACGAAATCCTGTTCTGGATTTATGACCTCCATGATTCTATCGGCGAAAATCTTGTTAACGGAGACGTAAGCTTGCCATAAAGATCGGTTAAAACGGCCGCCTAAATCGGGTGTTAATGGCAACATGTAATGAAACAATGGCCACAAATGTTGCTTACAAAAGCCATGATAGAATCTGGTATACAATCCAGGTGGGAAAAAGGTGGGTACACATTTGAATGATTCCAAAAGGGTTTGTGAAACCTCATCTTGTTCGTTTGGATGAATCTCTTCTTTCAATCCACCTACGTAGATCACATCCATTTCATCATCGTCTCCTAAACCGTCTTTCAGCTGAAGAAGAAGTGAATTCTCATCCAGACTGAAACTCCACCCACCACTGGCTTTCCGGTGACCTCGAATTGGTAACTGATTAGCTACTATGATCAAACGATCATGTTGAATGGACGACGACGACGACGACGATGATGATACACTCTCATCATCGGAAACAGTCATAATTCGAGGGGTTTGGATAAAGGACGGCGACGGATGTTCGCCGGAGACGAGATTTAGTAAGTTTGAATATGATTTTGATACCATTTCCAGATAGGAATACCAACTTAAACACTTACCAAAATCATCAAAACAATTTCAACAAAAAGAAACCCTAGAAGATGAGCAAACAAGAAACCCTAAATGGGTATTATTGATTACACCAAATAAAAACAAACCCAGATGAAGAAATTTTACCAGGTGGTCTTTGTGTTGAATCCCAGGAGAGGAAGAGAGCTGAACAAGAAAGCTCTTCTTTCTTTCTCAGCTTTATGGAGCTTGTTTATATAGAATCAGCCAGGTTTTGCTTAATGGGTTTTTGCAAATGTGGTTTGTTTTTTTCCAGAAATGGGTTTGTAAAATGACTTATACATCATGTATTAATACTTGTACAACGATCTGAATTTGAGAAGTTTGGATGTGGAGAAAAGGGTCATTAATGAAATATCTAATCTGTTTGTTTTTTCTATTTTAAATAATGGTTTTGGATAATTTGTGAAGATGAAAGAAATCTGAATTTGATTATTTATGATCATGTGACCTGTCATCTTGATTTTGGTTAGCATGAGATAAAAGGTTCCTCTTTAATTTTGTTTTATGTGTATGACATGCTTGATTATCATTATCTGGTAACTCCTCAATTAATGGAGGGGTTAATATGATACTTACCCAATAAATGTTGATCGGGTAATTTTGTTCACTTGATGTACATGACAAGGGCTGAAAATTTTACCCGGTAAGAGCGATGATAAGGATAGAGAGAGAGTCTTATTCGGTAAGTGATGATGATGACTTTTACCCGGGTAAGCGTTTACCGGGTAAATTGTTGCATACGATACCGTTTTAATATACTATAATCTTATCTAGTAAAATAGATTATAGTGTTGACTTCTACCGGTAAGCGTTCATCGGGTAAGTATTTGGGTAAACGGCCCCTTAGTTTGGATCCGCATGAGGTATTTGGATTAATTTATAGATCTTTCCCATGTACTTGTGGACCATGTTCAAAAACTTTTTTTTCCATTTTAATCCTTCCGTAAATTGAGGAGGTGACACTTGTGTAGGTAGTGGCTTTTTTAAAATTTTGGTAGAGAATTTACTAAAGAGATTAATTCAGTCCCTAAAATGGTTATTTCTCTTATATTTATTATATTATAGAATATTAGGTTAATTTTTTTGTAAATAATTTATTAACATTAATATTGTTTATTAATACATAGCTTTTTAAAGTTTAAGTATCTACGTTTGAACTTCACAAAACCAATTTATTAACAAATTTACAATACAATATAAACGTTGAGACCTACGAATATGACAGATACTCAAGGGGTGTTTGAGATTGCTTATAAAAACAACTTATTGACTTATTCCGGTGTGACATCAGTAATAAACATTTTTGAGTGTTTGGATAAACAGCTTATACCGGTGCCAAACCGATAATAAGGAGTTTTTGAAGAAGTTAAACCATTCTAACTTATAACAAGTTGATAAAGACTTTTGTAGACGAAAGCATAAGTTATTTCAAATAAGTAATCTTAAACACTCTCTCAATAAATTTTGGTTTTTTTAATGAAGAGTTGCATTATTATTTTCATTTTTAATTTATAGTAAAAATTTATATCCTACTAGTATACAATTACTTATATTGTTATGCATTATGTATACTTACTAATGCATAATTTCTTAAAAGTTAAGTTATAACTTAATATTTCATACATATAATTTCTCAAAAAACTTTTATGTTTGAATTTTATAATATCGACTGATTAACAGGTACAAATGCATAATAAATGTTGTGTTCTACTAATACAGTATAATACTTCATAAATTTTCATCTTTTTTATTAATGAAAACTTATATTAATTTTTCATTCTAGTTTTTAAAATCTTGTTATCATGTTATATTGCATGGGTACACAACTAATAAAAACATTTCTAACATAGTCCCCAGAATTTCTCCACAATATAAAATCAAAAAATTCGTTAAATATTTAAATACATTTAGTAAAATATAACTTTTTTCTCTTAAAGATTTAATCAAGGGTTTTTATTGGTGAGAACAATAAAAAGAAATTAATTTTTTTAATTGTGGGTTTTCTGGTCAACTTACGCGTCTCGGCTAATCTTTTGGACTACCATGAATGACCTGAAGTTATCGCAGGTGAATCTTCATGATCATAAGGGTCTTCATAATGCTTATATTCAAATGCAGATAAATGAAAATAAATGGTTTAGGCTATGTTTGGAAAACTAACTAATAAGCTAGCCGATGACTAATAAACTAACTGTTGACTAGTAAGCTAGCTGATAAACAAATTATATTTGACAAAACTAGTTTATAAGCATATAAAATGAATAAAAAGGGCATGTTGAAAAAATAATCAATTACAAATATTTCATAATATAATTCAAATAAATTCTAATAATATAGCTAAAATAATTTTTAATAATATAATATGTTAATCAATAGAAACAAGAT